CTTCTCGAGTGACTGCCTTTCTTACCCTGCAGATTTCGAGAAAAGGTTACTTTACTAGTTGTTAAATATAATTGTTATATTTTATAGTCTAGTATATTTTGAAAATAAATTCTTCATCATCATTACAGACCATCACAAATCCATTGCTAAACATAGGCTTTCACCCAGGAATGCCACAAAGAACGGTTCCTGAGCCACCTGCATCCATCGACTTCCTGCATGTCGTACCAGGTCCGTCGTGTGTCGGTTACTCTGATTCTACTGTGGATATCCTCATTTTCAAGTCTATCACGCAGAGAAACCCCGAGTATAGTTCTCTCCATGGCTCGCTTAGCGACCTTGAGCTTCCTCATACGGCCAGCAGTGAAGGAACACGTCTCAGATCCATAAGCCATAACTGGCAACGCCCACTGGTTGTACCTACAATCTTGTTTTGAAGTTTTGAGGTATACCTGACGAGAAGATGTGTCGTAACGTCCCGAACTCTGCCCAGCCGCAACATTATTTAAAAACTATTATTTGATGGTGGTTATTCTTTGCCAGCATATCTTCCTGATAATAACTAAAATAATAAAAAATGCGGTTGCCAACCCGCCCGCTAATCGTGGCAACTATTGCTTATATCTCCCCTATGTAGCAATCTATCGGGAAGACTTACTTTATACTAAATCTATGGAGGAGACCTATATTTAGCCTTCGTAAAATAGCTTTTTAAGTAATGTTTTGAAAATTATGACTCATAAAATCATCCTTTTTATATAACATAATAAAAATATTCTGCATGCATGGTAGTCTATCATTTTTATTGGTTTTCAATTAAACACATTTCATCATCATCATCACTACAGCCCTTCACAAGTCCACTGCTGAACATAGGCCTCCCCCAAGGAACGCCACAAAGCAGGGTCCTTAGCCTTTTTAACAGTGGTAGAGCCACGCGGCAGCTTTTGCTGTCGCACGGATGGGCCGGCTCGAACCGGGGTGGTACCACGACCTCACAGAAAACCAGCGTGAAGTAGAGGTTTACTTCTGCGTTTCGCTTGGTGAGTGCAGGTGGCCGGAGGCCCTTTTTACTGGAAATGAGGCATTCCATCTTAGTCCTCACGGGTGACAACGCATCTACATTTTGATTTATAACAGAGGATAGATGTAGATGTCTATGGGCCGCAGCAACCACTTACCATCAGGTGGACTGTGTGCTCGTTTGTCACCCTTATCCTATAAAAAAAAAAAGCCATCTGCCTCCATCGACTTCCTGCATGTCTTACTAGGTAGTCACTCCATCTTGCCGGGGAGTCGCCCTACACTTCGCCTATCGGTACGAGGTCGCCACTCGAGACCCTTTCTTCCCCATCGGTTGTCGGTGCTATATGGCCGGCCCATTGCCACTTCAGCTTACTAATTCGTTGGGCTATGTCGATCACTCTAGTTCTACTGCGGATATTCTCTTTCTATAATTGAAAATAATACATTATGTTATAGTTTCCTCCTTGGTCGGCTGATAAATCCAGTAAATGATTGAACTTAAAAAACCGACTTAGACTATAGGCCCACTCCCACAGCCAAGGATGTGTCAAAATATAATACATGTCTTTCGTTTTGTATTCTTTTTGACGTGCCAAATATGGCCATCAATCAGAGCATTGTTTGTAGGTATGGATTCACAAAAATTTTGTAATAGACTAATAAAATGTATTTGCAGAATTTTATGAAGAAAATATTCCATTACAACAAAATCCAAATGCAAACATAACTTCATCTCCACACATTACCCAACTATATGCTATTATAAACGCCTTAGTACTTGAACATACACATTTATCAGGGCGATAACGAACGACACTAGAGATGACTAGCGTTTTCTGATAAAGATGATAACAATAAAGACACTACGCTTAGACTAAAATATAGCTACTTTTATTTTAAAAACAAAATCTATACTCGTGCATGTGGAAAATGACAACGTATAAATACTTCTTAAAATTTTATTGATAATACTTTTTTCTGCATCTCGTTGTAAAAGTTTCACAAAAGTTCGTATATCTCCCCTGAGCTTGGCAGTATAACGCCATAATCAGCCGTTATGTTAATCGATAAACAAATTGAAATCTAGAAACATTTCGTATTCTAAGTATATAAAATCTTGGCCACTGTCATCAATGTCGATAGCTTCCGATTTGAACTGGATGAACTGTATTACATTTTCCAGCTTAACTGGTGGAAATGTTTAACTAATTTCACTATTCCCTGAAATCTCTTATCAATATATTCTCCACCGTTTTGTACTAATCTGCCGACTTCAAAAAGGAGACGGTACTCAATTCGACTGTATGTTTTTTTTAATGTGTGTTACCTCATAATTTTTTACTGGATGAACCGATTTCGATGATTCTTTTTTTTATTCGAAAGCTGGTACTTCACGTGTGGTCCCATGTGAATTTGATCAAGGTCACACCACTAGTTTTTGAGTTATTCTTAATAACTTATATTGAAGTCAGCTTGTACAGCATATATACAGCATAAATACATATTTTTAATTATTTTGCAACTGTAAATAATGAAGAAAAAGAACAACGAGAAAATCTCGTACAAAATGATACAAGGATTATCCTGCAAAAAGAAATGGCATTTCCTCGATCTTCAGTGCAGTATCAGGATCGAGAAATTAAAATCCAAAATAAATGATAAGGTTCTTTATTATTACGATATAAATTCAAAATTGGCAGATAGTGCAATGGTATAGGATTATTTTTGCTAAGTGTTGATCCAATCTGAAAGTTGGCGAATCGATCTGACTCACTATTGGACGTAATGGAGCGTTCGGTTTGTGTGTTTTAGGTAACCCATACAACTTCGGTGGTTTGGCATTATCGATTTATTTGGTATTATCGATTTAACGTATAGATTCAATTTCTTTTATACATTTATTTTTATACAGACAGTCTTCAACACTACAGATAATGTCCTCATACGGGATTTTACGCAATTGCGAAATTCATACCTTTGACCAAAACCCCGGACCCGCGTAGGCGAAATAACCAGTTGGGTCATATACCATAACCATATGTCAAGGCAAAATCATGAACAGATCTCCCCGCATGATCGGTTAAACGTGAACCGAGCCATTCGGCATGGTGGGCAATAAAATAGCCGAGAATCACGATCTCTGCGGATGGAATCTGCTGTAGCAAGGAATCTGAAGCCACGCGCGGATGGTCGTCGCTGTCTACGCGTAGCCAAAGGATGGATAGGTCCGAACTTTCAAGACTGCCGAGGCGTCGAGAACAGATGTCCTCTTTGTCGTATACGCAAACTCCAGCCCGTACCACAATTTTACCAGACACCCGAATTTTCCAATTTGTACCCTGGGTATGAGAAATACGAAGTATTTTAACCCCAAAATGCGGGAATAACCAAAAAATATATATTGTCCTTTATGATATTTTGTTTAAAAACTCCTTCACAAAATGCCAAAGTGTTACATTGAGAAGTTCTTGGGAGATTTTGACGACAGCGTAACCCAACGGATTTTGATTACGACAGTATACCAAATATATACGTGGTAGAGCCGTGCTGCAGCTATATTAATAGTATAGTTGTAGCACGTATGGGTTAGCTCGACAGGGGAAGGACCACGCTCTCACAGAATACCAGCGTAAAATAGCAGCTTAATGCTGCTGTGTTTCGTATGGTGAGTGTAGAGAACCGGAGACCCATTTTACTGGAAAAGAGGCATTCCATTTTAGTCCTCACGGGTGAGCTGACAACGCATCTGCATTTTAATTCGCAAAGGAAGATAGATGTAGATATCTATGTAACCACCATGCAACCACTTACCATCAGGTGGACTGCGTGCTCGTTTGTCACCCTCATTGTATAAAAAAAAGGCGCGGCACGTAAGTCTAGCACTAAACGAAACGTGGAGGGAACGCGCACTAATTCCATTGCACGAATGCGACTGGGGAGCCAATCAGCGCGTGCGAAGGATACGCACAAGCCAATCAGCGCGACTTATGCGCAATAAGCCAATCAGCGCGACTTATGCGCAATAACGGTTACCGCTAGACTTTCGTGCCGCTACTTATACATGTACAGACACTTAATACTCAAAATCTCATCACTTTTACGTATCAAAATCAACTTCAAACCATTATCGACACGATAAAACAGGAGCAACAATCCACCTGCGTGGCGGTTGAGTTCCTGGCAAAACTCCTATTGAGTTTTTCTGTCAAGAAATTCTCAATAGCACCCCAGAGTCTGGAAGATGGCGGTGTTGCATCTCCATGCTTCGGAAAATACGTAAAGTCACTGATCTTGCGCCTGATTTCTCTCTCTCATCGCACTATGAAAGTGAGGGAAATAGAAAGTGCACCTTGGGCATACTCTCATATACTGAAATACTGTCTTGCGCAGATTTTTTTTATAGAATAAGGGTGACAAAGAAGCACACAGTCCACCTGACTGTATGTGGATGTTGTGGCCCAAAGGCATCTACATTTATCCTCGATTAATAATCAAAATGCAGATGATCTGAGGACTAATATGGAATGCCTTATTTCCAGTAATGAAAATGGTATCCGGTTGTCTACACTCACCATACGAAACACAGCTGCCTTAAGCTGCTATTTTACGTTCGTATTCTGTGAGAGCGTAGTCCTTCCCCGGTCGAGCCGACCCATCCGCCATGATATCTATAACTGCAGAGTGGCTTTACTAGGTCATTATAGTTTGCTAATTGCAAAGGATTAATGGCCAATCGACTTAAAGTGATAGAGACAGCACGAGACTGCGATTTCACGTTAGAATATACCAAAGTTTTTATAAATAACACTCCTTTATAAACTGACGTACGTTCAAAGAAAAAATTATCAATACTTTGTGATAGAGGAGGACCTATACTAAATAATAATCATTCCGATAATTACAATTATTTTGCGATAGCTCGATAACGCAATCATTTATTCAAAACAGTGCTTGAACACAACAATGCGCACGCAATGGAATTTGTAAAATTATTGTTTGTTTGTTCAGTGTTGTGTTTTTCACAGATTAATAGCAGCGGTATTTTATGCGAAGAAGGCTTTTGTAGGGTGAGTACGTTTTTTTGTTATTTTATTTTAACTTCATTGTTATCACCTTTATAAATAATCAGGTAACAAAAAGGGGACTTAGGTAATGCCTAACGGCATTCTGTGCCAGGCAACCCGTGACCGTGAACCCGTGGTCTCATGAAATATTGTGGCGGGTGCAATTACCTAAATATGTACATACTTACTATGATATACTTAGATACATATTATAGGTATATGGAATCTATGCAATTAGTGTATGATGTTAATATATAAACAAATTTCAATAGAAAAGTAATAAGTAGTAAGTAGTATACGAAATTTATATAAATATGTCAGTGGCCCATTTATATTATTTATGCTGATAGATATAGATAAAGATGGCTTAGGATTGTTGGCCTCTCCAAATGAGCTTGGATATTGAAAAGCACACTTCAGATATGTATTATTAGTCGGTGTTGGAGCCATAGACCAGATCCGCCTATGCATTCTGCGGTAGATATGCATAATCGGTATGCATATTTTGGAAAAATGGGTACATCGGGAAGACTAGTAGTAGTAAGTACACATTGGAGCACAGATACCATATTTAGCAATTGAGGGAGTATTTTCACAGCAAAGGAAACTAAAATAATTATCGTATAATAAATTACCAATATAATCACTTTGTTTTACTGTTTATCAATTCCATTCAAATCGTACATACAATTTTCAAGAAACCAGTTATTAGATAATATAAATATAAAATGTACCTACATATTATGTATATTTATTTATTTTAATCATTAAAAAGTTTTGATTTTATGGTAATCACTTACCATCAGGTGAGCCGTATGCTCGTTTGCCTCTCCTATAGATTTTTTGTAAAACATACTGTTATCAGAATGTTTCGACAAAAGCTTTGCTTTGATCTCACGTTATAAATGTATGCAGTAGGCTATATATAAATTCACCTATCTCCGCAAATAAAACGTATTAGGTTTATAATATTTTTTGTGCTCAGCAGTGGGGCCGCGTAGGCGGGATTTTTTTTAAAAATAGGGTGACAAACGAGCTCACAGTCCACCTGATGGTAAGTGGTTGCTGTGATCCATAGACAATAAAGAATCAAAATGTAGATGCGTCGCCATCCGTGAGGACTAAGATGAAATGCCTCTTTTCCAGTAAAATGTGTCTCCGGTTCTCTACACTCAACATACGAAACACAGCACTGTCAAGTTGCCATTTTACGCTGGTATTCCGTGTGAGCGTGGTCTTTCCCCGGTCGAGACGACCCATTCGTGCTACAACTATACTACTAATATAGCTGCAGCATGGCTCTACCACGTATAATTGCTAAATAACAAAAAATAAAAATATGTATTCACATGCCACGTTGCATGATTTGGGCCAGTGTACTCCGGCGTGGTGGACCTACAGTCTATCCATTAGGCTATTGAGAAGATCTCTGTGTCTTCTTCTTTCTGTCGAAATTACCAACAAGGAAAAGTCAACTTTGTTGCCTTGTTTGTGAAATGTAGAGAAAACGAATTTTCCTTGAGACCGAAATGAAATGAGACCTACCTAGATAGATTTTTTGTAAATTTAATTGAAATCGTCAGAGCCATTTGTGAGAACGCGTTTACAAATATATTAATAAATATTGCTCGTATAGGATAATTTTATCTTGATAAGCTAATTAATATTTTTGTTGGCACAATTTATTTCAGAATTACATATTTAAAGAGGGCTGCCCATCAACAGCTCAAGAATGCACAATCAACAACGAGACTCATACGGGAATATGGTTACCTTCGCCAACTACGTGCAACTGTTGTGAATACTGCTTGCCTTTTTACGGTACATAATACTTTATAGCACTACACGACAAACAAACCAACACAAGCATTCGAATCCCTAAAAATACTGCCCATATAAGTCCCACAGTTGGACACAGGCCTACTTTTATCTGTGAGATGATTTTGGAGCAATTGTAATTACAGGGTGCGAGATATTCAATCTTAGTTCTCAGAGGTGGCAACGCATACCTCATACTATCATATCGCATCATATCGCTAATCATCATATTCGACTTTCAATAAGTATTATTTATAATATATATTGAATAAAAAAGTTATTGTTTCTGTTTTTTTTTTCATCTGTAGCCTAGGTCGACTGTCAATTTTTTTGTCACTTCAAATATGAAAAAATAGTCCAACGTGTTGCTCAAGTGCGTGTTGGCGGACATCACATGTCTTATATTTCTTAGACATGCAGGTTTCCTCACGTTTTCCTTCATCGCCGAGCACGTGGTAAATGAGCACTTAAAATTGCAATTAACAATTTCATTGGTGCCGGCGGGGATCGAACCCGGGTGGCTCGCGTACTGTGAAATTTACAGCGAGCGCTTAGCCCCTTAGCTACCACGTCATAAATAATACACGAATTCCGATTATCCACCTCATCTGGGGTGGATAGATGAACACGCCTTTCCAAGTATCCACCGTAGAGTGGATTTTTTAGGGTGGAGAAACGGAATAACCCGATGAAAGATGCAGGTCTAGTCGGCATCCAGCGACTATGGCAGCATCCTGCCATAGTCGCTGGATGCAGGTGGGTCAGGACCAAGGAACATACTACTCTCCGACGAGAGGCCAAGACCGTACTTTGTGGCAATATGTTGGGGAAGCTAATATTCATCAGAAAATTGGTCTTTCTGTTCAAATATTCTTTTTATTTAGTGTAACTAATTGCCCCCTGTAATTCCCTGTAGTTTTTCATACAATTTTCACAGTTAAATTATTAATTTTCATGTTATTCGTTTTCTTAGAGTCATATTTTTATAAAAAATTAAAACTTTTTCAAATATTCTTTTATTTTGCTGTTTTTGCTTCTGTTAGGTCCGTCCCGTGTAGAGACTGCCAACTGCACTCAAATCTGCAAAATAAAACACACGGAATTAGAAAAAATCGCTACTTACCTAAACTGAGGTATAGTGGCTAATCGATACAAATATTTAAATTCAACTATAACTTTGCTGAAAACTTTCCTGAAAATTCGTCTTTTTCGTTCAAATTTTTTCTAAATAGTACTACTAATTGTTCCCCATTTTCCCTTATAGTTTTTTTTAGTAAATTTTCTTATATTAATTTTTCACAATTTTCATTCTTTTATAAATAAAAACATAAATTCATTTGTAACTTGGTCTTGGAAAATTGGTCTTTCTGTTCAAATTTTCTTTCTAAATAGTGTAATTAATTGCCCTCCGTATAGGACTTGTGATGAAAGTAACAAAAAATATAAAGGTGCTTTGATTTGATGTTGTCTTGTTCTGTGCTATAATAATTACTTTCAAAAATAAAAATAACTACACATCTCATTAGCTCTATTTACGTCTTAGACTATTAGATGGTCTAAGATTTACGTAAATGAAACTGGCCGCCTAGACCGAAATTATGTCTGGAGGATATTACCTATATTATTATTGCATTGTACATAATATATTTACCAAATAAAGTACAATATTTTTAACTATAAATTTTTTTTTTCAGGCAAAGGCGCCCATTGTACAACTGGTGGTCCAGGTACAGGAGTTACAGTAGGCAGATGTGGCTACGGATTGACTTGTGATCCCGAATCACTCACTTGCGTAAGAAGTAAGTTTGTTTCTTTGACGTAATTAAGTGTTGTACACTGTTCTAACAATTTTATACTTTTAAATACATTGTGTCTAAACAAAATGGAGATAGTTGGTGAAAATTTAATGTAAAGTAAATTTTTAGAGAAATCTAAATGCCACACCGCACAAGATGAATATGACGCAAGGCATCTCAAAGGAGAAACGGGAGCGTTGGAACAGCGCCCCATCTGTGACGGGAAGGGGAAATATGCCGCTTTTCACTGTGTGCCAGCTCATACGTAAGATCCTTGCTTTTAAAATGTGACATGAGTATACACTACACAGTCCACTTGATCCATCAAGTAGATGATGTGACCCATAGACATCTTCATTTGTAATCTATTAAGAATCAAATGCAAATGTATTGTCGCCCTGAGTACTAAGATGAAATGTCCCATAACAGTAAAAAAGTTCTTCGTTTTCTCTACACTTACCATACGAAAGCAAAAGGCAACAGCATGCTGCTGCTATTTAATGCTGGTATTCTTTAAGAGGTTCCCCGGTTGAAGCGACCCATTCATGCTGCAGCCATAACTCGTTGCAGCGTTGCACGCCATTATGTTAAAGTCACAACCTATATACGTCCCACTGCTGGGCACAGGCCTCCTCTCATTCCTGAGAGGGTTTTAGGGTAAGGAAGTGTTCGCCCCAAGGCATGTTGGCGAACTTCACATGTGTTCGAAATACCTTTTCTTTCTTATTTCTCAGACATGCAGGTTTCCTCACGATGTTTTCCTTCACCGCCGAGCAGGTGCTAAATGAGTACTTGAAATTGCAATTAACAATTTCATTGGTGCCGGCGGCAATATAACCCGGATTGATCGCGTACTGTGAAATTTACCTACCACGGCATTTCGACATAATATCATCAAATCGTATTTTGTCAATTTGATATGAATAATGTTTTTTTTTTCTGTTAAGTATCAGCCAGTAAACACAAATAACCATCAACTATGTCAATCCATTGTACTGAATATAGGCTTTTTACATGTACGCAGAGCCGTATGTGGTTTCCCTGTGGTGGAATATAGATGAATTTTACTCGTCAGTAGGTACGATAAAATCAATACTAGCCCCTAGTTCGTTTCATAAAATTATATTTACAGCCTGTATAATATGTCATACTGCTGGGTGCGGAGTCCTTTCAGCATTATAGAGCAATTAAGAACTGTGGTAAGTCAGAGGCGCTCGCAGTAAATTTCACAGTGTGTGAACCACCTAGGTTTGATCCCCGCCGAAAATTTTAAATGAAGTTGTTAATTACAATTTTATGTTCAAATTTATATTTTTCGAGATTGGATTTTTTTCTTCGATAAAGGAAGGCATCGTGACCTCACGTGATAAAACGTGATACTATATATATAATAGAAATGATAGTGAGGAAATCCGCATGTCTCAGAAATAAAATGTTTCAAAGATATGACGTGCAGTCCGTCAACACGAAGCTCGCGGCGAAGAACTGTTGCAATATTTTCCAATTGACAATAGAATTTTGTCTCTTACTCTCGAAAAACACTACCCTCCTTCTGAGACAGTCAAGTACATACTGTGTAACAGTTTAATTTGCTTCATCACAACACGTACATGCTACATCATGTAAGTGGTACAGCCATGCTGCAGCTATCTTAGTTGTATAGTTGTAGCACGAATGGGTCGGCTCGACCGGGGAAGGACCACGCTCTCACAGAATACCAGCGTAAAATAGCAGCTTAACACTGCTGTGTTTCGTATGGTGAGTGTAGAGAACCGGAGACCCTTTTTACTGAAAATAAGGCATTCCATCTCAGTCCTCACGGGTGACAACGCATCTGCATTTTGATTCGTAATTGAGGACAGATGTAGATGTCTATGGGCCACAGCAACCACTTACCATCAGGTGTACTGTGTGCTCGCTTGTGACCTTTATTTTATATAAAAAAACAGCAAGTTGTCTCCCAGATTTAGTTAAAATTGAATAAATATCATTAAATTTATTACAGCCCATCACAAGTCCACTCCTGAAGATTGGTCTTCCCAAAGGAACGCCACAAAACACTGTCCTGAGACAGCCTGCATCTATCCTTTTCTGACATCGAAAATTAAATGATGTGGATATTTAATAATCAGTGAATGAAGTCCAAAGCAGTTCTTCGCGCAAACCGGAGTGAGCTCTAAGACGAAATTAAATTAAAATTTTAAATGAATACTAAGTTTTGAGTGCTGATCAATTTCAAATAAAATAATAATATTACAAGTTGTCGGTTTTGTTTTCACGGTTTAATCGAGGGGTTAGCAGGGTAGCGGTGGCGGCGACTCCGTGCATGCTAAAAAAATGGTTTTAGAATGTAGCAAAAGATGGCACAATCCAAATTATTTTTTATTGAATCTTTTCCCTGAATATCATATAAAAAATTAAACGTCTCCTTTTCAGTTGCTTTTGTCAGTCAGAGGATGGAGAAAGAATATTTGGTGAAAGACTAAACCAAGGAGCGACTACCATGCAGAACATGCACTGTGGTAATTTTTTAAACATCGTCATTACTGACTAAGCGAATTTATGAGCCCTTTTGTGTCTAGAAATTTTCAGTAGCAGCCCGAAGTCAGTAATTTAGCGGTTGTTCACCCCCGTACATCAGAAAGCACGTAAAGCCATTGGTCCTACGCCTGATCACGATCCAGTCGTGTAGGATTTCCGCCCCATCAGATTATGTACTATAACCATGACCCCAAGAAGACTAGTCTCCTCTGAAACTTCGTTGATGCCTCTGCTTTAGTAATTTTGGGGACACAAATCGATCACTCGTTCAGACGTGTTTACATCACTTTATTGCAGTTAAAATTGTGTCTTTGTAATAAGATATCCAATTTTTATTCTCTATTTTATCCATCCAATATTTAAATTATAAAACTAACTAAACTAAAATTATTTATATTACTATATTTAAAAAGAAAGTTAAAATTTTGTTTAGGTGTTTATTTTGTAAAACACAAACTGTTGGGTAACGAATGGGTTTGCCAACTATTCTATATTTTTCTCTACAAATCTAATATCATGATGTGTTTGTTTATGTTTTTTTATATACTTTTTTTAATGTATAAAGTATTTTTCAAAAACAAATCCAGTAAAGCAATTTTTTATCAATTTAGACTAGTATTTATGTGTTATACAACATTTTAGTAGTGTAGTTGTACCACTTCCAGACCACCTGAGTCAGACGTGGTTCAACGACGACGTTCGTCGACGCCCGATCCTAAAAAAAAAAATAAAAAAAAAAAAAAAAAAAAAAAAAAAAGGTTTTGGCATGCTCTGATCACGAATCCGCGGTCCATTTTTGTGTAGAATGCACGGTTCCGGAGATGTGTAGATCAATTAGCTAATATCTAATTGATATCCGGTAAGGGCCTCCACCGTCATTAGCGTCCCATTGTTCCTATTTCTATTGTTCTATTGTTCATTAATCACCTTCATTGCAGCGTGTGCGTCGACTATATCAGTGCTATTGTTTATTATAATTCTTTGTTTATACAACGCTAATCTGAATCATCAATAAAACACATTACATAATTTTGTTACAATTTTTATTTATAAAATACAAAATCTTATTAATTATTATCTATAAAATAGGAGCGAAACATCTCATCCACTAAAATATCGTTGTACAATGTGTTCCTTGTAAATATACTCGTAAAACTATGTATTGAACATCCTTGAAACTTATATAGTAAATACATTAAGCAATATTCGCCACAAACTGAAGTCCACTCATTCTGAATCCTATCAACATTCCAGTTCCATCTTTTACAATTCCTTTTTAAAAACTCTAGATGATATCGTACAGGTGATCGTCCATATGAATCAAAATATTGACCGACGTCATTCGTATCGATATATAAAGCTACCCAATGTGACCCTGGTTTATCATCTGTATCCAAATTACATATTATATACGTTGGTACGTGGGTATACATAGGCAGTCTATTAGCTGCATAAACATTATTTTCTAGACTGGGGTGAATCTTTTTCAGATGTTGTTGTACATCTAGTGTATCCATGATATTACTGCTATTAGTAGATTATTACAGTACCTAGCTACTCAATGAATAACATAGGAATGGTCAATTATAGTGATTTCTACATATTAAATTGCATTTTTGTGATATACAAATCGTACTTGAGTCATTGATCACCAAACAAAACACAATACGAAGAAATGTTGAGATAGGCAACGGAAATGTGAGATAAACTGATATGTTTCTAAATATTAAATTGCATTTTTGTGTTATACAAATCGTACTTGAGTCATTGATCACCAAACAAAACACAATACGAAGAAATGTTGAGATAGGCAACGGAAATGTGAGATAAACTGGTTGACGCATAAAGTAATTATCAACTCATTACGGAAATACTTTAGATTAGAATTTTTACGTACTGGTGGTATATAAGACCAACAAACGCAGTCATCGAGTTAGTGTACGGTCGTTTGGCTACAGTGGATCTATCAATAGTACATTTTGTGTTACTTCAATACAACAAAGGCTATGGATGTAAGTGTTTATTCTATTGACTAAATTACTTTTTTTCTGTTATTTTCATGTGTGTGTATTATTTTATTTAAATATTGTGTATGTATATGATTAAGCCGTGGTAACTCAGATGGTTAGCGCTAGCTGTAAATTTCACAGTACGCGACCCGGGTTCGATCCCCGCCAGCACCAATTAAATTGTTAATAGCAATTTTAAGTGCTTATTACCACGTGCTTGGTGGTGAAGGAAAACATCGTGAGGAAACCTGCATGTCTGAGAAAATTTCGAAGGCATGTGAAGTTCGCCAACACACATTGAGGGAGCGCGGCGGACATTTCCTTGCTCTAAAACCCTCTCAGAAATGAGAGGAGGCCTATGTTCAGCAGTGGACTTTAATAGGCTGTAACTTTAACTTTTTTAACTTTTATGATTAAGTGTTAACAAATTGATATTAACATGATAACTGTGTTGTTGCAGAAATCATTGAGCTTCGATGAAGATACCTATAAACAGTATTACTACTCGCCACTCTCCCCTCAAGAAGAGAGTGATGACCTCGTCATTAATAATAACACATGCGATGGTGGAAAAAGAAAATCGCAATCGATTGATCATTTTTTTGAAGCTGAATCAAAAATAAAAAAGAGGAAGGGAAAACTTCAGTGAAGTGTGCACCAGTGCTTTTTTCTCCTCAATCATGGAAGAGAATACGGAACTATTCAATAGCGAATTAAATCAGGAGTTGTCTAAAGTTTGTGAAGAAATGGAGAGGGGTCAACTGTTCGATTCGTCATACGATGATGAGTTGTATCATCACTGTGCGATGGTTGAAACACAGTTTAAGTATGTAAAATAAACATTCATTTCGATCATAATTTACATATTGTCTTATACAGTTTTTAATAAATTTAAACATTTTAGCAGTCAACCACTACAACTTGGAAGAGGAACGAAGCGAACGTGCAGCAAAGAATCCAAGATCATCAAAAAACCAACAACGGAAGCAGAAGCGCATACCTCTGCAGGGAACAGTATCAGTAACGATGATCAAGTGAAATGTCCAACGTGCCATATATTTATCAAGAAACGGTATTTAGCTAATCATTTTAAAAGTAATGTTCATAAAAATAATCTTTTAAATTCACATAATTCTTTATCAAACGTTAGTGTTATTGAATCTGCTTTTGGAAATAGGATTTTAACTTATAAAATCAAGAGTAGAGTAGATCGTTCGACATGGGTAAATTTTGAAACTCCTGAACTATTTTTAAATTCTATTAAAGATGATATTTTATTTTTATTACAAGAGTGTATTCATCAACACATAATTTTTAAGGTAAACTTCATATTGCATGCTGATTTTGTTCAACAAACTAAAGATATTCATGATACGTTCGATTTTCAAACGCTTAACTATATTATTTGTCAAGGAGATGACTTAAATATTTTTCTTTCATCTTTAAATGATACAATTACTACTAAAATTAGTGCTTTCGAAAAAAAAGATAGTGGATGGAGTCTAAAAAACATAAAATCTATAGACATGAATGTTAATAAATTTAACCCCCTACGCGGTACTTCATACATAGATCTTCCTCGTGACATAAAATTAAAAAAGGCTGTTATAAATGTAAAAAACAAGGATTATTTTTGTTTTAAATGGGCGTTACTCTCGGCGTTATATCCTGTAAACAAACACACCGATCGGGTATCATCGTACGTTAAACATGCAAATAAACTTAAATTTGATGGTATTTCCTTTCCGGTTAAAATTTCTGACATAGCAAAAGTAGAGAAATTAAATGATATTAGTATTAATGTTTTTGGGTTAGAATATAATAAAGAAAAACGATGTAATTCTATAGTAGGTCCATTATTTTTAACAAAGTGTCGTAAAGATAGACATATCAATTTATTATTTTTTTCCAAGGATACAAAAAATCATTATTGCTATATAAAAAATTTATCGCGGTTAGTTAGTAAACAAATTTCAAAAGACGGTCACATCATGTACATTTGTGAAGCATGTCTACTTCGTTTTCCATCTCAGGAAAGGTTAAATAACCATGAACAATACGATTGTGCTCACATTTGTACAGTATTACCAAACAGTGAAACTTTAAAAAAAAAGAGTTGGTTTGGTCAACCTATTTCAAATGATAAAATTAAATTTGATAGTTATGAAAAAAAGTTAAAGATACCATTCGTAGTTTATGCTGATTTTGAAGCATTTTTAAAACCAATAGAATCATGTTCTAACGATCCTTCCAAACCTTTCACTCATAATATTCAGAAACATGAAGTACATAGTTTTGGATATTATATAAAATGTTCATATGATGATAAATTATCAAAATATGTAACATATTGCGGACCCAACTGTGCACAAGTGTTTATGGAAAGTTTATCTAACAATCTAAAAGAAATAAATAGACTTCAAAAATATCCACCACTTCCGCTAACAAATGAAGACAAAAACCAAATTTCAAATGCAACTATTTGTCATATTTGTGAAACTGAGTTGGCAAAACATTTTTATGATTTTGATTGGTACACTGGTAGTTTTATAGGTGTTGCTCATGAATCATGTTGTTCGAAGATCAGAACACCTAGTTATATACCAATATTTTTACACAACCTTAGTCACTATGATGCTCATTTTATTGTTCACGCGTTAAACTTTTGTGATGGTGAAGTCGAAGTTATCCCTCAAAATAAAGAAAAATATATATCCTTTTCCAAAAAATTAAAAGTGAATAACCACGAAATTATATTGAGATTCTTAGATTCATTTAAGTTTTTATCGTGTAAATTAGAAGAATTGGCCAAAAATCTCAGTAATGATCAATTTCAAGAATTACGTAGAAATTACCCTAATGATGAAGATTTCTTTCGTTTAAAACGGAAAGGTGTTTATCCATATGAACTTATGACTAAATATGATAGTTTAAGTCTAACATCGCTCCCTGAACAAAAATGTTTTTATAGT